CAATGAGAATAACTGAGGTGATGAACTAACAGGCCTGTGAGCCAGAGATCTGGATTCTGCTTTTGTTACTCCTGTTATCCTGCTTAGTACCCTCAGGGAGGTCATAGTGGTGACCTCATCTTGAGCTCACTCACCCTTCCCTTTCCTACTTAGGCAAAAAGCTACGGTCTGAACAGCTGAACTGCCTGAAGCTCTTGGCTGCTCAGCCAAAAGCTGAAACTGTAGCTGCTGCTGAGGACTGGCCCCCATGGGAGAATCTAGGATTTTGAAAAGTGCTAAAAGAGTTTTCAGGGCAAGAGCTGAGAGACCAGCAGTAGCTAACAGCAAGATTGTTGAAAAAAGGATAGCTTGATTAGTGGACCATCAAAACCATTCAAAAAGAGGGAGGGTCGTTAACACCTGTGGAGTGAAGAGCAATCAGAAGGAATCGGACAGATTACAATAAGCCATGAAGTTGGTTGACTCTATCAGCACCGCCTGAATATAAATGCTCCTGCTGCTTCTAGGCAGGTGGTTTTACACTTTGGGTGGAGTACAAATCAAAGCGGGGTAACAACCATGTCACTGCACTGGGATCTGCTCCTGCTGGACTCTGTTCCTCCCTCCATGCAGCAACTGGAGGGAAGAATAGGAAAAAGAAGCAGTGGCCATCATGCAGCATATCCATGTTTCTATTCTGGGAAGAAAAATTAGTTTCCCAGCTTAAGATATATACCCCACTTGTGGAAGGCTAATTCTGGGGGCAAAAGTGCGGGTGATGTGCAAGTAAATATGATAAGAGCAGAATTTTTGTTTAAATCTCTGTTGATCTCAGGCTAGTAAAACTTTATACCATAAAAAAATCCCTTGTTCCGGATCAGACTAACAGCGTCCTTCTACTATACTTATTCTGGGCAGCTGAAATGGATGCTTTAATCCAACTGCTATCAGACATATCTGAAACCAGTTCTTGAGTACAAGTAAGGATTGCTGAGTCATTTTGGATAAAAATTACTTATGTTAAGCTTTAAAACCATCCAAACCTATTTACTTTAAGATATTGTTTCAAGAAAAAAAAATCTTCATTTTCACATGGTTCATTATTTTCAGGTTTGGGAGCAGAAGAAACAATAATGCATAGAAGAAACAATAACGCGTAGAAGAAGGTGTTCTTGTGAGATATTCTAATAAGCCAGAAGCAGACAGCACTGGAAATCTTGCTTAACAGCAAGATGGGAATATCCAGCCACCCACAGAGCCACGTCCAAAGCTGCAAACACGCAGGGGCCAGCATGTTCTGAACTTCACCCCAAATAAGGAGCTGCTTGGCTGTGAGGTCATTGTTTGGATCCATCTTAATTGCCAATTAATATGGCAATTAATATGCAGGGTTCAAATGCTAATGCAAACAGAAATAAATATCTGAACTACTTGAGGCTTACTCATCACTAGTCACAAGCCAACTACGAGGCAGGCAACAGGCAGAAACCCAACATCAGTGCTAGAGGAAAGGAGAGAAGAGACAGAGAGCAGCAGGAGGCCTGGGTTAATAGCTGTTGGATTTCAAAAGAGCAAGCAGTGGTAGCTGAAAGATGTGAAATAAACAGAAACAACCCCCTGACATGCCAGGAGACATGAGAGAGGCACGGGGCTGGGGGGAGAGGGCAGCTCCAGAAGGTGGGCTAGAGTCGGAGCGATTGCACCATTCAGGCTCAGAGATGCAGCAGAAGGGGCCGTGTGAGAAAAGGCAAACTTCAATGAGATTTTCAATGACATGATTTGTACAAGGATTCTGGAAAGTTCATACTTTCTCAATTTAAAATGGCACAGATTAAGTGAAAATGCCATCTCTTTTTTTACTTATGAGCTGCAGCCAGTATTGAGTGGTACTCCAGTCGGTGTTTCTGGACCGTGGTGGTCTGTGTATGTTTAAAACTGTTCTGGGAATTTCCTATTCCAGGATTTGTAGTTTTAAACATGCACAAGCTGTGTCAGCCCAGCCTCATACAGAACCCAGGGGCTGCACACAACAGACCCAATCCATGACATTCTAGGATAACAGAAGGATGTAACAATTGTATCAATAGGAAATGAAGCCAAAATAAGCAGTTATGATGTAAGTGTTAGGCTTGCATGCTCCTTAGTGAAACCAGTGTAGCAAAACCTTTGCAAATTTAACCCTGTTTCATTCCAAATTAAAATATTATCAATTTAGCTAACCTGCATCACTACAGAATCATTCAGCTGTAACACTATATACATCACAACTGCTCACACACCCTCCTAAATGGCAGCTCCCCCACTTCTTTGAAGTCATACAAAGTTAAATTTACTATGGCCTATAAGGAGAACAATGCAGTAAAGGAAAGGGGAACTTGGCACTATGCCCCATGGACCTTTCCTCTTCCTTGTGGCCTGAAATTTGGCCTTTCCTCTGTTAACTGAACAGCAAATGTCTATAGCTGTTGACTGAATTATCCAATAATACCTACCAAAAGCAATCAGATTGGATCACAACAGAGAGGGGAACTTATATTATTTTAAAACAAATTATTTGGTTCCCCAGGTTCTGAGCAAGGTACATAGCTATTGAATTAAAGCAACAAAAGTAGTCTGAGAAAGGCTGTGCTTGACTTATTCCAATTCTGCTGAAGCTGAAGAGGGTCAGAGACATTTTGCTTAAGTGCCCTGTACTGAAATTTGGGGCTCCTCTGGTATTAATCTGCTAATTGGCCAGATGAAATTTGGGATTCTGAGTAAATTCTATGGACGGCAGTTTTGGGCTTTTCTAAGAAAAGAAGAGATGGAAGGTTTTCTTATAAAGATTTGCAAAACATGTCTTGGCCATAATATGATTTGACTGCCTTAATAGCATGGGTATTACAAACCCAGATGAGTGACCTGCCTTAAATTTGTAGAAGCCTTCCAGGGAGCTGCACAACTGCTTCTGTCCCCAGACTAAAAAATCTATTAGTCTACAAGCAGTGGCACTTCCTAATAGCTACAGTCCAGTTCAGGACTCCTTCCATGTTTAGGTAAAAAATAAATAAAACAAATCCCTGTCCCGCTCTGTACCTTGCCTGCCTGCTGCTTAGTGTTGTCAACTGTTTCTCTTAGTCAAAATTCAAATCTGGAAGTGTAGGGATAACAAGAACTACAGGAGGAATTCATCATGCTTCAATGCAATCTAGAGAGTCTTGTGTAATGGGTTTTTCAGGCAACAAAGGGAGATTCAGTATTAATAAATATAGAGTCCTGCCCACAGGCAGAGAAAATAAAGAGTGCAGAGCCAACACTGGGTGGGATGTGACCAACCAGCTACAACTATTGTGTAAGAGGAGTTTACTTTCAGCTTTTCTCTTTAATTTTGTCCTAATATTGGGCAAGACTGAAGGTGTTTTCTGTGACACCACAGAGATGGTGCAAAGACTACTCAAGTCTACTACCTGAGCATGACAATTGTTGGTGCCTGTTGGCCTTGCTAGCATCTGACTCTCAGGAAGGGGCATGCAGGGGTGACAATAGGGCAGAGAGAAGGCCCTGAATTCCTTATAATGGCCTCCTTGAGAGCTTGCCCTGCTTACACATTGGGGAAATCTATACTTCACCCTCTATAAATCTGGCACATCATCTGTGTTCTAGGAAACATTGGGCTAGTCTTATGCTCAACCTTAAGGGGGATTCCTCTGGGGTGATGAACTGCCCTGCACCATGAATTCTGTAATACCACACTTGGATCCATTAGGCCTGAGCACTGTGGCTGCAGGAAGGAAGATTTGTGACTGGAATGGCCAGGCAAGGTGACCATAAGAGGAGATCCAATACTTTCTTGTACAGCAGACCTGGAGGTTCAACTGAGGCTATTTTCCTAGATTTGGGGCAACAAGTCTTGGATTTGAGCCAGACCCTCATGGCTGTTATCCACACAAGGAGGGGCGTGTGTTTGCAGCAGCAGAAATAGTAGCAGCACAGATTTATGCTGCTACTTTGGGCTGTAGTGCACACCTCTGCTTGTGTGGTTTGCAGTGGGACACATTGTCCCACTGCTCCATGAGCTGCAGTGGGGGCTGGCTGGGGTAAAGGGTGCTTCAGCGAAAGGCTAGCCGGCTGGCAGCTCCCATGCTGAGGCACCCTGTGCTCCAGCCAGCAGGGGAGTGGCACGTGGAGATGGGGGAGAAAGCAGCTCAGAGCCGCCTGCTCCCCCGTCTCCATGCGCTGCGAAGCCCCCACGCTGAGGCACCCTGCGTCCCAGCCATCCACTCCCTGGCAAGCTGGGCTGCAGTGTGCCTCGAGATGGGGGAGCAGACAGCCCTGGGCTGGCTGCTCCCCTGTCTCCACATGCCTCAGTGAGAGGGCTCTGCTGTGGAGCCCCTGTCTTGAGTTACACTGTACCCCAGCCAGCTGTGGAGCAGTTGGATGGGGCGCAGTACACCTCGAGATGAGTGAGCAGGCAGCCCTGGGCTGCTTCCCTGTCTCTGTGTGCCTCAGTGGGGGCTTCTCAGTCACGGCTGCCTGCTCCTGTCTCGAGGCATGCTGCGCCCCAGCCACGTGCTCCACGGCTGGCTGGGATGCTGGGTGTCTCAGCATGGGGATTCTGCAGCCCACAGAGATGGGGGAGCAGGTAGCCCTGAGCTGCCTGATCCCCTGTCTCTACGTTTGTCCCGACACACAGCACGTTGGTGTCCTTTGTCCCACATTTTTTTCCAGGGTTTTTTTTTGCTACTGGGAAATCCTGGAAGCAAATTTTGCCCCAGTGCTGCTAATTAGCAGCCCTGCACACCATTTAACATGCAACACATGCAGTTTGTGGCACTGCAAAGAGGCTTGCGGTGTCACAAACCACACGTACCTGCACATCTGGATCCGGCCCATGAGTCAACATTTGGGGCATTCTTAACACAGCAGGGCAGGCATCATCACTAGTAACTGCAACACAAGTATTAGCACAAAAAAGGTTGCCTGAAGGAGAGATTGGAATCAAAGCCATAGTAGACAGAGGAAAGGAATAAAAGCCATCTTACCTTGGGTAAGCAGCAGCGCTGTAAGGAAAGAGAAACAAAAGAAAGAAGAAAACAGGAAGAGAGTTAATATCCTATTGGGAAAAGCTGTAAAGGCTATTTGCAGATGGCAGTTTTAAATGAGCGATGGACTTGGCTTAATGCAGTGTGAGCTCTTTGTTGTAGCCACATGCTAGGTGCAGGCCTGTGAGCATGCCCAATAGCAGCAGGATGAGAATGAGGCTGGAAAAAATGGGTGTGCATCAAGGGCTTTGTTTTTTGGAAGTATTCCCCCTCCCCATGAGCAAAGGCAGAGGGTTGGGTTGTGGAGGGTGGAGGTAGTAGGTAGGGGATAGGAAGTGTGTGTGGGAATTGTCACACCTGACACCTGGACCTGAGATGAGCTAAAGTGACCCAAAATGAGTTGGAAGTGCAGTGTGCAGATGTGGAGAAAGGACACGACAAAAACATGAAGGCCTCGGTCAGCTGATGCATTGAGAGATTTTCTTGGGTGCCTGTTGAGAGTGCAGACCGTGGGGGAGTGGGGCTCACTGAGAAGAACATGGCAAGGACTGCCACACATTATCTTCCCGGACTCACAAGGAAGTCCTGACTTTCACAAATCTATCCTGTATCACACAAGCATAGCTTGCAGAGATTGAGAATCCCAAGCAGAATGTAGATGTCACAGTGTACCATCACACTGAGTCTTCATGAGTCTTTTTGCTTCTAGTTGGGTGTGTACATGACAGTATGGTTTTGACATGTCTCATACGGTGTCACCACATAAGAATGCAACTGCAGCATGACAATGTGTTGTAATGCAGTTAGTTGGTCCTCCAAGATTAGGACACGCTGTAACATGAGTGTGTTGGAGAAGGGGAAAAGAGTGACAACAGTCTTGGCTGAATGCAGTGTGACCTCTCTGTTGTAGCCCCATGCTAAGTGCAGGTGTGCACCTTGTGTAGAACAAACTAAATTTCTTCTTCAAAAAATGTCCCTTACAGCTGTCCTGCTGTCATTGACACTGATTACATGACACTCCTTTAACCCTATCTCCTCATAGCTGTCAGAAAGAAAGATCCTACAGGACCATTTCTTGGTCTAATCCAGGGGTGGGCGAAATATGGCCCGTGGGCCGAGGCCATTCTATCTGGCCTGCAGGGCCCCTAAAAAATGTAGAAAATTAATATTTCTCTGTCCTTGGTTTCTGGACACGAACCAAGGGCAGTAGGACCCAGGGGAAGCCTGGCGGGCTCCAACAACAGCAGCCCACCTGGCCCCACCCCTCAGCCAGAAGCCCCAGCCACAGTTTCTGGGCTGGGAGCACGTGGCTGCCTCGGTGAGGGAAGCTCAGGTAAGTGGGGGGAGGGGGGACCCTGGGCAAGGAAGGAGTGTTGGGGGGGGGGGAAGAAGCGGCCCCTCCCTGCCCCACGCCCAGTGCCCTGCACTGCAGCAGGTTGCAGCCCATGTGGGGCTGCCCGTGCCCACTCCAGACAGCCTCATGCAGGCTGTGAGCAGCAGGGGTGGGGCGGGGGGCAGGGCAGGGGAGGGGCCTCTTCCCCCCCTCCCTCCCCGTGCTCAGCTTTTCCCTGGACTCCTTCCCTGCACAGGGAAAAGCAGCCCCTCGCCTACACCATGGCCAGCGCCCTGCGCTGCAGCCACCTGCAGCCCACATGAGGCTGCTGGTGCCTGCTCCAGACAGCTCCGCGTGGGCTGCAAGCGCCTGCAGTGTGGGGCGCTGGCCATGGTGTAGGCGAGGGGCTGCTTTTCCTCGCGCTCAGCACCAGCTTCTTCCCTGCTGGTGAGCAGGGGGTCGGGGATGTGTGCTGCCTCCCACCTGTACCGCAGGGCTGGGGGGCACTGGGTGTGAGTGGGCGGGGAGTCAGTGGGAGCACAGGGCCCACACCGGTGTCCCAGGGCCAGTGCCAGTGGGGCCCATGGCAGGGTGGCAGGAGCGCGGGGTCCCAAGGGCTCTATGGAGCCGGGCCAGCTCCCCCCTCTCCCTGCTGGTGCAGCCCAGCCTGACTCCACAGACCCCTGCCAGTCTGTGCCCCGCTCTGGGCTCCACCGGTGCTGGCCCTGGGACATTGGTCCCAAGACACTGGGACATTGGTCCCAAGATGGTGACCGGGGGCAGGGCACCTGTCAAGGGGCGGGGCTACCCATGCGGCCCTCTACAGCCTGCCAAAACTAAGTAAGCGGCCCTCCACTCAAAATAATTGCCCATCCCTGGTCTAATCCCTAGAAAACCATGGGCAATATTCAAGTAAACCAGCTCCCAAATAAACTTACCATGGTCTACATCAAGCCTTTTATATTGCTTGAAAATAACAAACCTCCTTTATATAAGAATTGAACCTCAGTTCCACCTGTAGCCTATGACCACCACCATCCCTCAAACAGAAAACTTCAGTTCAGTTCTCAGGATTTGATTGAATTTCTTAAAAAATTAATAGTATAACTGTCACAACTGTTACCTATAGGACAAGGGTAAGCAAAATATGGCCCATGACCTAGATCCGGCCTGTCAACAGATTTTGTCTGGCCAGCACCAGGCCCATTGACCCCACCTGGCCCAGGTGCGGGGGACAGCCCGAGCCGTTGCAGGGGTGGGAGGGAAGTACTGACCTGGGCCACAACAGCTCACCAAAACTCCATAAGTGGCCCTTGGGCCCAAATAATTGCCTACTGCTGCCATAGGTCTTTTAGTGCAAGAATCTTAAAATACTGAACAATGAGTGATCTTAGCATTCCCATTTTACAGATGCCAAAATGGAAGCAAAGAAAGATGAATGGGAACAGACTTAGCTGTCTAGTAAGTGGACTGATCTTGAAAGGTGCCAAACACTTTTCTCTATTGTGGTATCTTAATTTCTGCTTGCCTCTGGAAAAAATCAAGGCACTTTTATGTAGGTGCTTTATTTAAATATCTAAGTTCCAAAATGTTTGCCTAGCTGAAGGTTCACACCGCACAGAAATGACAAAGCTGGGAAAAGTAACACTGAATGCCAGTTCTCAGTCCATTTTTATATCTACAAGACAATACTCTCAGTCACATTTTTCAATTCAGCTTGCAGTAAGACATCAGAACAGGAAATATTAGCCAACCGATTTGACACTACCGTGAAAACATCAGTAGCACTGTATATACCTTAGGGTCAGTCTAGAGACTGGCAGTAGTTTAATGTCCTTCTCTGTCTATATGCATTCATGTGCATGGTGGCTGGGAGTCCAAAAAGAGTGACAAGCTTAAGAATTTACTGGACCTCTATTAACATCTAGTAGCTGTCTTAATAACTCTAAAGTTTGCTTATGCTAAAAGTAAAAGGGGCATTCAGGCAGAATACACCTGCTTCCCTGCTGAATATTTCAAGTATGCCATGGAGATAAGAATGCATTTGTCATGCTCATGAATGTTGCAGACACTTGTGGTGTGGGGGAGGTATGAAGTATGTGCACTGATCTCCAAAGGAGTGCCTGTGGAATATTAGCAGCACAATAATTGTGCCAGGGATCAACAGTGAAAGAAATCCAAACAGATGAGAGTTTTTATGAGTCTATTTACAGATACTGAAGAAAAGGAGGATTATGAGGGGCTGCCAAAGTAACTACTTGAACAGGAAATATTTCTCAGAATTTCCTCATAAAAGCAAGTGACTGATATCACTGTTTAAAGCCAGGTTGCGTATTGATAGGAAGTCTGAAGTTTTTATCCTACAGCTGTCTCATTCCAACTCAAACCTAAAATTTAATTCACCTTTCCATTCCAATCCTGGGGTCTATGCGCAGCCCTGGGAAACTTCCATGTGCCTGTGGAAAACTAGACCTAACTTCTACAGCACAATCTCCTAGCAACTTGAAGTACTTTGATGAGACAACTGGAAATTGCACAGCAGCTAAAGCAGAGAGAGAGATTTTCCTTCTATTAAATATGAAAATGAATAATAATAATAGTGTTGAGCAGCACCAGTGTTATTTCTTAACTATTACATTCAATTTATTTTACACTATTTCTAAATTTTTAATGTGCCACAGCTTATTTGTATTAGCCATCTACACCTGCATTCTGGAGGTTGCCAGAGATTTTGGACTCGGCCAGGAAAGAGACTGTGTCCTTGGCACGCATAAAGGCAACTTGAAACTATGGGACACAGATAGCAGCTGTATTCCAATAATAGTGTTTGCATTGTTATTGTCCTGTTTCAGAGTTGATAGTCAATTGAGATTCATAGGGGAAACTAAGACATTCCCTTAAAGCTATTGTTTCAAGCTGCTGCTTGCAGACTCAGGAGAGCAAGACTGTATAGTTTATATTTGGGTTTTGTTTTGGAAAGTTTCTCTGCAACTATGAGAATTAGTAAAACAGGCCCTGAAGCACAGGGCATATAAATGAACACAGCTCTGTTAATTTCAGATTTATTTAAACTGAAAACTTGGATTGTGCGTTCCAATTCTACAGCAAGGGATAGTTTCTGTGACAAATTTTACGGCTGAAGAGTTGTGGGAAATGGGGGACCCTGAAATCTCCCACTGCATCCTCATTTCTACCTCAAACACATCTTTTCCTTCCAGAATATCACAACACAGCCCTATTAATAAACCTCTAACTGTAACTTACAGCACTGCTTGCATTTCTAACGGGGGTCCCCCCTCCCAGCTCTGGCCCACTGTATCTCAAGGTTAAGTTGTAGCACCCATGCTCTTCCAGTTCTGGACCTCTGAACAGTGACAAATTCAATTCAATTGCTTTAGGCAGGCAGAAACATTATTGCATGTGTTGATTCAATGTTCAAAATTAATCTAATAATGAAAGATTACTGGACCCCAAAGCTACAGTGATTGTAAAAAATACCAATTTATATGTTTCTTAAAGCTGTTATTCTAGGGCCCTGGGATTTGAGTTTACCTTTCTTTCATTTGCTTTTGTGCCTGCAAAACAAGTATTTTGCTCTCTTTCACCTACGTTAGGATACATGAATATTTGAAGACGCCTGCAAAGCTATGAATGAAACATCAACACTACAAAATGGAAAGCCAAG